TTGTTTTTTTTTTTTTAATGAGAGCTGATTTACCAAAAGAAAATTACTCCAACTCTCTACAGCAGAAGTCCAACTATAGAATTTAGGCATCATTGAGAAGTTAGTCAGGTAAAACAGTATTTATTAATACTTTTAGTGATGTAACAGGGTTTTCTTTAATAACTTTACACATTATTTCTCTGACAGTTTTCAGTAACAGTGTCTAAAGAATACAATATTTAAGGTTAATATACAAATCATCTTAGGGAATAGTACAAGATGCTACTAACATGGCCTAGCATCTGCCTCAGTTCGTTTCCCATTCATCTTTGCTGAACAAACCACAAAAATCAAAAAAAAAAAAAAAAAAAAAAAAAAAAAAAACGCCTAGAAAATGAGACAGGTGATTGTCTTTGTGAGCAATACACACTGGGACAGAAGATGAAGAGACTGCAATGACATACAAGAGGCTAAATCCAAGCACAGGATGCTTCCCATTGTTACGAGCCAGTGGAATGCAAGGTAGGAATAGGGTAGAACTTGGAAATCCGGCTCTGTGTTGACGGGTTAAGGCATTCAGACTCCCCAGTCATTTTAAAGAACACTTCCTGTTCCTGCAATTTCCTGGCAAATTCTTCTTCCAGTGTCTTAAAAAGGAAGAGAAAGTTTTATTATGCACTGATATTATACTGTACATAGAATTTCCTCTGACAGCCAAAATAAAACTACTGGCCCAAACACTTCTTACGAATTACTCTAAGGAAGACATGACTAAGAGTTAAGGCCACAAACTGCACAGCCAAGTTCAAGACTGAGCTCAGTCACTCACACACACAATCCCTCTGCTGCAGAAGCAGAGAGCCACCTAACTTACCTTGTTGGCAAGTCATGGGAACATCAACATAATAATGATGTACTGAACACTCCAGCAGATAACACCTATCACTATTACCTACTTTTTGTGTGTTACTAATAAGCATGTTTTCCTTCCATACTACACTATAAGCTGTATAAAAGTAAGAGATATAAACCAGTTTCTTCTTTACACCCCACAATACAGAGCAAAAACAGTATCTGATACATATTTGAATTTGTTGAACCCTAATCCTGGTAGTTTTATAGGTTAGGCCTTTAGGAAGTGATTAGGTCGTAAGAGTGCAGTCCTCTGAATGGGATCACTACCCTTTTAAGAGAACACACAGAGAGTTCTTCCCTGTCTGCTACATGATGGCCCAGTGAGAAGTAAGCAGGCTGCTACAAAGAAGGTCCTCACCAGAACCTGACCATGCTAGCTCTCTAAGCTTGGTCCTCTCAGCCTCCATCTTAGAGAGTATTTTATTATAGTGAACTGAAGGACTAAGATGGATATCAATGACTGTAGATTTAATCATTTACGTGAAAGTGCTACTGTTTTACTCTCAACAAAATACAAGGTTTCTCAGAAGAGGTAAAATGTGAGTTTAACCTTGAAGCCATAATTAGAAACTGATAGGCAAGATGGGGAAGGGTATCCAGACAAAAGAAGCTGAAACAATGGCACAAAGACAGGAATCCAGAGTTGGTAGGAGGGATGATAACTATATCCACACTGCAGTGTACACTGTGCAAAGTGATAAGAGGGAGAGGAAGCCAGAAAGGCCAACTGTGGCCTAAGTGTGTCACTATGAAGGCTTCAAAGTCAAATTGCAGCATTTATGTTATACTTGATAGGACTGAAGATTTATCAACACCACTGTGGCAGCATGAGATATTCTTGAGGACCCTCTGGTGACAGCAAGTGAGAATAAAGGAAAGGAAGTAAGGGCAGAAGGCCCATGAGGAATTGTTGAACAATTTCAGCAGGTAGTGCCATAGTAAAAGAGAAGACATGCTATAGAGAGTCAAAATTAATTAGCATCTGGCTGAAATGTAGAGTGTCGAAAATTAAATCAACCAGCTTCCTAACCTGGATATCAATTAAGAGAAAGGAATGTGGGAAATTAAGAGATGCAGGAAGAAGGAAAAGTGAGTTGGATGCTGGGTTCAGTTTCATGTCTACTGTGTACATTTCTGTGTCATCTTCAACAGGTATGTACTAATCACTTATAAAGTGCCAAGAACAGTCCTGCTAGCTAGGTATGTGAACAAAGAGACAAACTCTACTTCTAAGGGCTTATATTCTCAAGGAAGACAACAGACAAATGTATCTGGTGGTGAAGAATATAATAAAGAAAAATGAAGAAATAAGAGGGACGAATATACGAGCTGGTAATATAGTGATCAAAGGAGGCCCCTATTGATCCAATGCTTCTTGAAGAGGTCTGCATGAAACAAGGAAGACCAGAACATCCAGACTGAAAGTGAGAGTATACAGCTCAAACTGATAACTAGACCAATGGACTGGGAATAGGGACACACCTGTAATCCCAATACTCCTAAAGCAAGACAACTGCACATCTGAGGCCAACACAGGTTACAAAACAGACCCCAATTCAAAACAGTAATAGTAGAAATATACACATCACTTCTTTCAGCTTTTTTATTTTTTCTTTCTTTCTTTTTGACACAGGTCTTGTGTAGCCCAGGCTGGCTTTGAATTCATTATGTTGGGATTACAGGCATGTGCCACCATATCCAGTTTGTTCAATGCCGTGAACCCAGGGTTTTATACATGCTAAGCAAGCACTCTACCTCACTCAACTGAGCTTCATCCTCAGTCCTTAACTTTCTTCTTTTGTTTCTTTTGTCTTTTTGAGACAGGGTTTCCCTACAGCCACAGCTAGCCCGAAACTTGCTGTGTAGACCAGGCTGGCCTTGATCTCACAGAGATCTGCCTGCCTTTCTCTGCCTCTGCCTCCCAAGTGCTGGAATTAAAGGTCTGTGTCACCACCCCTGGTTTTAAATTTCTTAATAACCTGATTAGGTAGACAGTCTTATCATCATACAAATGAGGAATATTGGGCCCAGGAATATTAAGTGTCAAATGTATGCAGTAAGATCTGAACCCATATCTGCACACCTTCATGATTCTGTATCCTCAATATACACAAATTTTTTAAGTTTAAAATTAAGATCTTGTGCCCTATTTCAATGTTTGAACTATCCTTAAATACTTAATGACTTAGGCTAAGACATGTAGTATCATGGAGGTAAAGAACAGACTGGGGTATCAAACTGAGACATGTCTACATTGAGACTACAAGATAAAGAAAAGGTGATAAGGAGCATAATTAATGCACAGAATTGCCACAAAAGCCAGGTAAAAGAATTTTTTAAAATAGTATTTTAAAATAAAATAGCTACTGACAGTTATAAAGACTTAGCAACTCACTTATGACTGCTGTCAGCAAGTTCAAATGAGGCCTTGAAAGTAAAAACCAGACTACGAACAGTTGAGTATGAAACTGGGGAAAGAGATCTATCACTGTTTACCCTTCTGAACCCCGAAAATTCTCAAGCATGGGAATATATTTCCTATTTAAAAACTGAACAGTAAATGTAAAAATTCAATAAAAAAACACCCTCTCAACTAACTTTGTTATTTAACTTCTACAAATCTTTGGCACATAGCAGGAGCTAAGCATGCAATTACATGGATGGATGGATGGATGGATGGATGGATGGATGGATGGATGGATGGATGGATGGATGGACGGACGGATAACCACAAGAAAATAACACTTGATGTCTGAGCTAGCAAAAGACTATGGATTGTAGAGTGATAGCCAAAGATACAGTGGGGAAATGGAAGGAAGGAGGAAGGAAGCCATTCCTATCTTTTTTTTTTTATTTTATTATTTTTATTTTACATGTATGAGTGTTATGCCTGCATGTAAGTAAGTGCACTCATGTCGTGCAATGCCCGTGGAGGACAGAAGAGACTGTGGGATCCCCTAGAACTGGAGTTATAGACAGTTGTTAGCTGCCATGTGGGTGCTGGGATTCAAACCCGGGTCTTCTGCAAGAACAGCCAATGTTCTTAACCACTGAACCATCTCTCCAGTCCCCCATTCCTATCTTTTCTACTTACGTTCAAAGTCCTTGTAATGATTCAAGTTGCTGTGTGAGGACTCAGCTGCCCTTACTTTATTTCTTCCTTTTCATTCCCTGATGCCCCTACACCCTCTGCTTCTCTACACAGGGAACTATTTGTAATTCTCCACATGCAGTATTTTTGCTTGTTCTCTTTTCTCTACTTGTCCCATTCCTTTCCCAATCTACCTCCTGCCTACCAAGCTCATAGTTCTCCTTCACACCTCACCTGGTTGTAAGCGCCTCTTCAGCTTCCCCAGGGAGATTAAAACTCTCTTCTTGCTTTGCTCAGTCATTCTGCCTCCCTTATCCTATTCTTACCCACTTCACAACAATGATCCCACCACTTGCAATCATCTGTCCCTAGATCCAGAACCTTCTGGAATAGGGGTTTTGACTTTCCATCTCTGTGTCCATCTATAGATGACACTGAACCTGACTCAAAGTGGGCAAAGAGCCAAGAGCTGGATGATGGATGGCTCCAAACACAGCACTTCAAAAAAATTTGTTTTTTATCATGTGTCTTGAGTGTTATGCCTGCATGTGTTTAAGTACACCTGTGTCACACGATGCCCACAGAGGACCGGGCATCAGATCTCCTGGAATTAGAGTTATAGATGGTTGTCAGCTGCCACGTGGGTACTGGGATTTGAACCCAGTTCTTCTGCAAGAGCATCCAGTGCTCTTAACCACTGAGCCATCTCTCCAGCCCCGAAACAGCACTGAAGCAAAGCTTTTAAAATTACCTTTTTCCGAGGTCTCAATTTCTCTCTCCACTCCTTTAATTCTTGGCTGTGCTCTTCATCTAATTCCTTGAGTTTCTGAGTCTCATGCTCAACCAACAGGTGGCATTTCTCATTCTGAAAATAAAGTTGGTATTAAATGTTTTTCTTCCAGAGTACTAAACTATTCAATCAAACATCATATATTATCAAAGCTCAAATTCTCCTTTAAAAAAACAAACAAAACAAAACCACAAAACAAAACAAAAAACAAGGGCCCAAAATTGTGAAATAGTCTGTTTTCTAAGTTTAGAACCTAGATCTGCTAACATACCATAAAAAAGAACTGAAGTAGAATTGCCCTGGGCATTTATTTTTCCAGTTGGTAAAAGAATGTGGAATTAGGAAGTATTCTACTCCAGTAAATCAAGCAAATGTATAGAGTACCCAAATTATCTTCAATACTTGGAAAGTTTAAATATTTTAAGTATACACTAGACAGACTGCACACTCCATATGGTCATCAAAAACGGCCCTCTCCAAAGTACTCTAAATTTCCTGGGAGAAAAATTTCCCAATGTTTATCACTTTTTTTTTTTTTCACAAACTAGAAAAAAATAAACTATGTCCTCAAATAGAAAAGAAATTTTAGGGGCTGGAGAGATGGCTCAGCAGTTAATAGCACTGACTGCTCTTGCAGAGGACCCAGGTTCGATTCCCAGCACCCACATGGACACTATGAACCGTCCTTAATGCCAGTTCCAGGGGAATCCGAAGCCTCTTCTGACCTCTGTGGCATTGCACAACATGGGTGCACTCACATACATGCAGGCAATACACTCATGTTCACACATAAAATTAAAATAATATTTTTTTAAAAAAAGAAAAGAAATTTTAAATTCAGAATCTTACAATAATATCTTCATCATTTTTTAAAATTCTCTATCTTCTTGTAAAAATACTAAAAACCGGCCAGGCGTGGTGGCGCATGCCTTTAGTCCCAGCACTCAGGAGGCAGAGGCAGGGGGGTCTCTGTGAGGTTAAAGGCAGCCTGGGCTTAAAAGTGAGTTCCAGGACAGCTGGGGCTACAGGGAGACCCTGCCTCAAAAAGACAAAAAAAAAAACCCTAAAAACCATATTCAGTGATGCTTCTGAAAGACTCATTTAGCTTCATGTTTCTATTCTTCATGGTCATATAAAACAAGCATCCATGACACTGAGCAGATCCTCATTTGGGTCTACCCAGGAAGGACTCTGAATTCTAGCATTTTCCTAAGCAGCATGCAGTTAACTCTGGTTATTTTCTCTACATCAGCCACTAGAGTTGCCCAGCCACCACATGCTCTGATGTCACACTGTTGCATCCAACCTGTAGCTGATGCAGCTCTCGGACATTAGCTTCACACTGCAACTGGAGATCCCTCATTTGATTCTCGTGCTTTTGATGCTGAGCCATCCTCTCGTTTTTCTGCCTCTTTTCTTCTTGTGCAGCAAACTACAAGAAACACAGAAGATGAATAATAGTTAACAAGCAATGTCACTTCTACTTAATCTAAAGGTGTAATTAAGGAATTTAACAAGGAATTGAACCAAGGCTGTTAGCATTAACATACTGTGACTCAAAGCTGTAGTCTACATGATTAGGCAGAAGGGAGAGGAATGTTTCTGATTTAAGTGCCTGACATTCCTATTGCTCCCTCCATGGCCTCAGATAGTGTAAGAACTGTGACTGTTGCAGCATCCTAATGAGAACAGGTTTCTGACTTAAAAAGCTGTCCAACTCATCTCATTCCAGGGCCCAAGATCTGTCATAGGACATGGGGGAGGCCTTTGCCCTCTGTGGTCACCACCCAGGAGAGACTAAGTTGCTATATGTCATACACTCTGCCCCATGCTGGAGTTAAAATGAACATCAGCAATCCCAAGGTGACACTAAATGCTTACAACCCAATTATGTGGTGTTTTTAAAGGTCCTTCAATTTTTTAAAACCTGAAAGAGAAAAGAATAATTTGTTTACTGACCTGTTTAATTTTTTCACGGTCCTGATCTGGTGTGGCTGTTGAGTTAATTCTCAAACTTTTCTTAAACATGGCCATTCGAGTCTTGGCTTCACTACGCTGAATCTTGGGTAGTCTTGCTCTTTCTTGAGTCTGTCTGTTTTTCAGTTCTTCAATAAGCCGTTGATTATAACGCTGCATTTGTTCGGTTTCCTAAGAACAATTTAAACAGGACTGAGTAGTGTAGATATAACTCAACACTCAGGATTCATATGCATGTTCAAAGATGTCATTTGTTGGCATTTCCCATACTCTCTTCCTTACTGCATAATGAGCAACAAAATATTAGCCAAAATAATTTATAAGAAAAGGAAAGTTATTAATGATAGGATCTTCTCCAGCCCCAGATCTTATTGCAAAACTCTTTTACCAGGTACAGCAAAGACACATTATTAAGATACCTAAATCACAATGGAAGCCCAAGAAACACAAGATGAAGATGACAATATATGAGGTCTTAAGCACCAATTACTTTCCTTGTAATTGGCAGAAAAGAAGTTTATAATCATAATAAAAATACAATTAATTACTCAAAACCTCATCAAAGAAATCTGGAATAAAAGAAACCAAAAATTCATTCTCTAAGAAATATAAGCTTCAAAACTGAGTAATTTCATAAAATGATCACAGAAATGAAGAAATTTCTCTTTCATTAACCTTCTCATGGCGCTTAAGTAGCTGATGTCTTTGCATGAAATACTGATCTTTAAGTTGCTGTTTAAGCAGCTGGTGTTTTTCTTGTAAGTGTCGTTCTTCAAGCTCCCAAATTGCAGCTTCTCGAGCTAGAAGGAAGGAGTTTTCAAAATGTTACTCGGCTCTTTTAACTAATGTACAATGCTCTTCATCTTCCTATTTACATTAAAGTATTCTATATACACTAACTTATACACATAAATGGATATTCTGTGCTATACATAAAGTGTTATCAATGTAAAAAAGTATTTACTACCACTCTCTATTTTGTTTAAAATTTTACAGACTAAGAATGTCCCCAGGAATGC